ATGGGGTTTCACCGTGTTAGCCAGGATGGTCTCGATCTCCTGACCTCATGATCTGCACACCTCAGCCTCCCAAAGTGCTGGGATTAGAGGTGTGAACCACCGCACCCAGCCGTGTCAAACACTTTTTATGTCAACTGAGATCACGTTGCTTTTCTATCTATTAATATGCTAAAGTGCAGCCAGGCGCACTTTGGGAGGCTGAGGCAGGTGGATCACTTGAGGTCAGGAGTTTGAAACCAGCCTGGCCAACATGGTGAAACCCCGTCTCTACAAAAATACAAAAATTAGCCAGGCATGGTGGTGGTCACCTGTAATCCCAGCTACTCGGGAGGCTGAGTCAGGAGAATCGCTTGAACCCAGGAGGCGGAGGTTGCAGTGAGCAGAGATCATGCCATTGCACTCCACCCTGGGCCACAGAATGAGATTTTGTCTAAAAAAATATATATATATACACACACACATAGAGATATATATAATCTATCTATCTCTCTCTCTCTCTATATATATATATAGAGAGAGAGAGAGAGAAAGGTCCATTGATTGATTTTCAAATGTTTTAAAACTGAGATGCAACATGGAGTCCCCTTAGGGGCCTGTGGGTCCCCCTCCAAGCATGGAAATAAAGGAAAGTCTCCAGTTCCTTCAGGAGAAATTCTGGGCCCCTCACCGGCCCTGAGAAGTAAATGAGCAGCCTGAAAGCAAAATGGCCCAAGCAGCTAAAATAGCAGCCAGGGGTGCCGGGGACGCTGGCTCCCATAGAAACCCAAGATTGATCTTAGTATGTCCTGGAGTGACTTTTCAGAAGCCTGGGCCCCCACCAAATGGATCTACTGGCCCGCAGGCCTCAGATACAGGGAACCAGGGGCTGAACTCTGCCTGCTGCTCTTGTTCTGTTTCTTCCTGAAGGGGGCCTGGAGGGAGCCACACCCATGAGCCAGAGTTAACATTCTTTTCTGCTGACCCCAACTTTTTAAACAAAACTGGTCTTCCTTAATTGCAAATCAGATTTTTTTTTTTTTTTTTTTTTTTTTGAGACAGTCTCACTCTGTCACCCAGGCTGGAGAGCAGTGGTGTGACCTCAGCTCACTGCAAGCTCTGCCTCCCAGGTTCATGCCATTCTCCTGCCTCAGCCTCCCAAGTAGCTGGGATTACAGGTGCGCACCAGAACACCCGGCTAGTTTGTGTGTGTGTGTGTGTGTGTGTGTGTGTGTGTGTGGTTTTTTTGGGTTTTTTTTGTTTTTTTTTTCCGGGGGTGGGGACGGTGTTGAGATGGAGTCTGGCTCTGTCGCCCAGGCTGGAGTGCAGTGACTTGACCTCAGCTCACTGCAACCTCCACCTCCCGGGTTCAAGCGATTCTCTTGCCTCAGCCTCCCGAGCAGCTGGGATTACAGGCTTGCACCACCACACCCAGCTAATTTTTGTATTTTTAGTAGAGCCAGGGTTTCAGCATATTGGCCAGGCTGGTCTGGAACTCCTGACGTCGTGATACACCCACCTCGGCCTCCCAAAGTGCTGAGATTACAGGCATGAGCCGCCATGCCTAGCCCCAGGAAATCTTTGCATCTACTTATGACCTGGAATACCCCTCACCCCTTCAAGATATCCCTCCCTTTTAGGCCAAAACCAATGTATAACCTCCATGTTTTGATTTACAGTCTTGCCTGTGAATTCTATTTTCCTGAAATTTACCCCTGCCTTTAAAAACCCTTGCCTGCATGCCATCTGGGAGGCCAGCACTTAAGCACGAGCTGCCCTGGTCCTCCTTGCTTGGTGCCTGTAAGGAAGCACCCTCTTGCCGCCTGCTGCAAACCTCGGTGTGGACATTGGTCTCATTGTGCTGGGTGAACAACCCTAGGTCAGCGCATTGACAAATTAGCTTTGCATCTCTGCACGAACCTCCCTTGATCACGATGTAGTTTTTTTTTTTTTTTTTTTTTTTTTTTTTTTTTTTGAGACTGAGTCTCACTCTGTCACCCAGGTTGGATTGCAGTGGTGCAATCTCGGCTCACTGTACCCTCCACCTCCCAGGTTCAAGCAATTCTCCTGCCTCAGTCTCCGGTGTCGCTGGGATTACAGGCGCGTGTCACCACACCTGGCTAATTTTTGTATTTTTAGTAGAGATGGGATTTCGCCATGTTGGCCAGGCTGATCTCAGACTCCTGACCTCAAGTGATCCACCTGCCTTGACCTCTCAAAGTGCTGGGATTACAGGCGTGAGCCACTGCACCTGGCCTCCTTTGTCTTTTTATTACAGACAAGGTCTCACGATGCTGCCCATTGTGGACGTGAACTCCTGGGCTTAAGTGGTCCTTCCATCTCAGCCTCCCAAGTAGCTGGTACTATAGGGGCATCCCACCACGCCTGGCCAGATTTCTTTTGAGTAGTATCAGTGTGATACATCTTTCCCTATCCTTTTAACATAATTGTGTCTTTATATTTGATCCGTGTTTCTTCTAGGCAGTGTGTAGATGGGCATTGCTTTTTTTACCCAATCTGACAATCTTTGCCTTTTAGGTGGGATGTTTAGAATGTTTACATTTAATGTGATTATCAATATGGTGGGGTTTATTTTTTATTTATTTATTTTTTTGAGACGGAGTTTCACTCTTGTTGCCCAGGCTGGAGTGCAATGGCACGATCTCGACTCACCGCAACCTCTGCCTCCCAGGTTCAAGCAATTCTCCTGCCTCAGCCTCCGTAGTAGCTGGGATTATAGGCATGTGCCACCACGCCCAGCTAATTTTGTATTTTTGGTAGAGACGGGGTTTCTCCATGTTGGTCAAGCTGGTCTCGAACTCCCGACCTCAGGTGATCCACCCATCTCGGCCTCCCAAAGTGCTGGGATTACAGGTGTGAGCCACCGCGCCTGGCAATGTGGTGGGGTTTAGATCTACCATCTTGCTATTTGTCTTTGACTCATCTCATTTTTTCTTCTCCCTCTTTCTCTGCTTTTTTGGGGGGTTAATTTTAAAATTTTATTTCTGTCCTTTGTTGTCTTATTAGCTGTAATTCTTTATTTTAATGGTTGTTTTCAGATTTATACACTTTTTTTTTCTTTTTTCTTTTTGAGACAGAATCTCACTCTGTCACCCAGGCTGGAGTGCGGTGGCACGATCTCGGCTCACTGCAACCTCTGCCTCCCAGGTTCAAGTGAGTCTTCTGCCTCAGCCTCCCAAGTAGCTAGGACTACAGGCATGAGCCACCATGCCCAGCTAATTTTTATCTTTTTAGTAGAGATGGGGTTTCACCATATTGTCCAGGCTGGTCTCGAACTCCTGACCTCATGATCCTCCCACTTAAGCCTCCCAAAGTGGTGGGATTACAGGCGTGAGACACCGCACCTGGCCTACTATACATTTTTAACTTGTCACTAAATTCAAGTGATATAATATAACCTCATATATAGTCAAAGAACCTTACAACATTACATTTCCATTTTCCTTCCCAGCCATTGTGCTATTGTTGTTACATATTTTAATTTTTCGTATGATATAAACCCCACAATACATTATTTTTGCGTTAATCAGATGACCATCAAGGCAGGTGGATCACCTGAGGTTAGGAATTCAAGACCAGACTGACCAACATGGTGAAACCACATCTCTACTAAAAATACAAAACTTAGCCAGGTGTGGTGGCACGCACCTGTAATCCCAGCTACTTGGGAGGCTGAAGCAGGAGAATAACTTGAACCTGGTATAGAATGAGACCACCACTTCTCCTGTTGTCCTTCCCAGCTTTTCCCGGTCTCCCCTTTTCTCTAGTTTATAAGACAGGAGAAGGGAGAGAAAGCAAAAAGTTGGAAAGAAACAGAAGTAAGATAAATAGCTAGACAACCTTGGCGCCACCACCTGGCCCTGGTGGTTAAAATAATAATAATTATATTAACCCCGGACCAAAACTACTAGTGTTATCTGTAAATTCCAGACATTGTATGAGAAAGCACTGTAAAACTTTTTGTTCTGTTAGCTGATGCATGTAGCCCCTCGTCACGTTTTCCATGCTTGCTTGATTTATCATGACCCTTTTACATGGATCCATTAAAGTTGTAAGCCTTTAAAAAGGCCAAGCATTTCTTCTTCAGGGAGCTTGGCTCTTAAGACGCAAGTCTGCCAATGCTCCGGGCCGAATAAAAAATCTCTTCCTTCTTTAATCCAGTGTGTGAGGAGTTTTGTCTGTGGCTCGTCCTGCTACACTCAGAGGTGGAGGTTGCAGTGAGCCAAGATCATGCCACTGCAGTCCAGCCTGGGCAACAGAGTGAGACTCTGACTCAAAAAAGAAACGCACTCCTTATACTCACTCATTTAGTTGCCGTTTATGGTGTTCCTCATTTCTTTGTGTAGATTTGGTTTTCCATTGGGTATGACATTCCTTCTGCTTGATGGACACCTTAGACACTCTTGCTGGTGATTCTTTTACTTTGCTGTATCTAAAAACAGCTTTGTTCTTTCCCAGACTCTGTCTCCTCTCCTTTGGGGACTCCAATTATACCCGTATTTCACCACTTGAAGGTGAACCACAGTTCACTGATGCTCTTTACATTTTTCTAGTCATTTTTCTCAATTTCATTTGGACAGTTTGTATTGCTATATTTTCAAGTTCACTGATCCTTTTTTTGCGACAGTCTAGCTCTGTTGCCAGGCTGGAGTGCAGTGGCGCGATCTCGGCTCACTGCAACCTCCGCCTCTCGGAGGCGATTCTCCTGCCTCAGCCTCCCCAGTAGCTGGGAATACAGGAATGCACTGCCACGCCCAGCTAAGTT